TCTCCAGAAGGGTCTCTATTGCATTTAATTTTTCTGCGTTTTCAAAGGTTATATTAGTCTGCTTCTCCAGAGTTGTTTTTAATTCCTTTACCTCGCTGGCAATAGCATCGAGGGCGAATTTTAATTGCTTAACCTCAGCCGTTAGGTCTCCGATGGCTGTCATGAGCAGCTGTGACGCGGCGTCGGAGGCAGTTGGTTGCTGAGGAGCTGATCTTGCAGGGCTAGAGCCCTTATCGCTCCATTGTGTACTTTTTTGGGCTTTTACACAATTCGGGCATGCCCAATTCTTCCTTGATGCCCTTAATTTTTCGAATTCACCTTCGTCCGGGTTAAGGCATTTACCATGAAAAATGGCTTGACATGTAGTGATAGGGCATTTCAATGTTTTTTTGTCTTCTCTGGTAACTGTCTGTCCACAAATAGGGCATGAAACCATCTTGTCTGGCAAAAATAAAATGGAAAATATAGAAAAATGTATAAAAAATATTTTAAAAAATACGTTGATTGTTGTGATAAAAATTGACGTAACCTCAACCTGAACACTTGGGTTTCTAAGTAAAAAGATCCTAAACTGAAGTAAATAAATGGTAACAATTGTTTTATTAGGATCTTGTTACTTAGTTTACTGTGTTTATATAGTTTATTGTTCTTAATATTTCAATGTACTTACTGTTTATAATTTCAATATGTTTATTCATCTTGTTTATAAATTTTATCGAAATATTATGTAACTTCTACAATTTTATATATCCTTTCGTATCTTGTCCGTTCTAGCCCTGAAGAAGACCTGCAAAGTCGGGTTGAAACGTTGGCTTGAAATAAAATATTTTGTCACTATTTTAGGGTATTTTTGACGTCCAACCCGGACCATCTCCTTCATCTAAAATACAATGTTCAACTATTAAGCATTCAATAAAACACTCAAATGTAACATTTATTACTTTTTCTTTCTACAAAATAAGGTCTCAATAATTAACAAACAAATAATCGATTATATTTTTATTTGAATTGTCCTTAAATTGGTTTATTGGTCAATTGTCATACAAGAAATGAGAAAATGTAGAACGAACATTGAAGGTTTGAAGGAATAAATGAAGGAAGGAATGATAGGTACCTATATATTATATAGACCAGACCAATTTTAGATACGTAACTTTTATTAAAAATAATAATGAAAACTTTATTTTTTAATCGATTTGAAATTTCCAATATTAAACATTCCAAAGCTTTTTATTAAAATTTAAACAACTTCAGTGAAACTTTAGGAATACACTGTAATATTTGAGATTTTCAAGTGTTCAAATATTAGTGTTGAATCTGTTTTTCTAAATCACTAACAAAAACATTTTGTGGGATTATGTTATTTTTAAATAAAAAACATTCAATTATTTGAAAGGAATATTTTTTCTTACCTGTATGACAATGAGCATCTATCAGCGATTTCCTATCACACCCCGATTGATTTTTCATAAGGTGTACATAACTTTCTTATCAAATTTCAACTCGGTTTATTTTTGACGAGAGACTAGGTATTATTTTCAATATAAATCAATTTAAAGCCAGAAGGAATACTTAGCGAACCAGAAGGAATGAATTAGTGAGAATTCAAGTCAAAACAATAACAATAAATGTCTTACTAACAAAACAGCTTATTCTATGAAAGCAGTTTTTTATTATCTAATACTTTAGGCAAGTTATGTTCCAAGAATATTTTTCAGTTGTATTTACTTCTTCCTTTTATAATGTTAAATTCGATTTTTGCTTTTTACAGGGTTATTTACCTTCCTCATATTTGTTTATCTTGAATAATGAATTTAATTTGGACAATATAGTAAAATAAAAAAGTAAATATTAAAATTTGTATTTATCACAAAAGTGCAAAAATGTGCAATTTAATGTAAAAAAACCAAAATCGTGCCATTTAAGCCAAAAACGGCAAAACATGCAATTTCGTGTAGTATAAAATATAAATATGTTATTCTACAGATTGTGAAACGGATAGATATTCAGGCCCAGAGTTTTTACATGCAAGCGAATAAAATGTGCAATAACATGGAAATCCGGTCTGTAGTGATAGGCGTAACCCAAATAATATATATAATGTTTTATAATAAACTTGAGGATGAGCCAGATGGCTGAGCTCCTTCAATAACAAAACAAAAAAACAAATCAATAAAAAAAATATAAATTCGAAGGGTTTAATTTCCCTTGAAATTTAAAAAATAAATTAAGAAAAATGATTTTATTTAAAACAGTCTACTTATACGTTTATACGTTCATCTTCAATATACTTGTCAGTTTGAAAGTTGTTAAAACATTTCAAGTAGTTTTATGTTATTATGTCCTGTAATTATTTGTTTGCAATGTGTAATGTGATCTTGTTTGTGGTTGTTTATTGTGATCCGTGATATTTATTTATTTAGACCTATTGATATTGTGGAATGGCCAAGAGACAGATTTTTTCATTAAAACTATTAACATTTTTAATAACGTCAGTAAAATAATAAATATAAAAATGTATGGGTAATAAGAATGAAGAATAACATTAAATAATTGTAAAAGTTTACGGGAAGTAAAAGGTATACTAATAATAATAATTAATTATGTATACTTTTACATTTATCATTTTGCTGATCTTATTCTTTAATCTTATTACTATTATCTTACTTATTTATTCTTATTACTCTTACATTTTTATATTTATTATTTTACTGATGTTATTTTATATTGTGTAATTTTTAGCCTTGATGAAGACTCACTTGTTTTGGTCGAAACATTGGCTAATTCCTAAAGAAATTTCGTTTCATCTCTATAATTCATAAGTTGACTACTTATCCATCTCTAATTATTTTTCAAAATTTCATTCTCTTCTGTTGGGATATTATTAACATTTTTGTAGCTTTCTTCATCATTACTGATCTGTAACTTTTCATTAAACTGCTGTAGTTCATATTTAGTCAAAACTGCTTCAGATCATTTATTTTAGATTGCTTTAAAGTTATGTTTACGACTGACAAAGTGTTGCAACTTTTTTTTTCTGAATCAATGTTGGGTGTGTTTTATTTACTTTTATTACACAGATCGGTTAAACTGTAAAAGAAGATTTCTGTTTGTCATAATTGTAAAAATGTTCAGTCCAGTTCTTGAAATGGAAATCCTTAGAATATTTAATTTAAGTAGATTTGTTTCTACTCTCATGAAAATGTTTTTGCCAATTCAGGATTTAGATATACGATTTAAGTATCCATATTTTTATCTCATCACATATCATATTCCACGTCCACTGATAACACTATCCTAAGAAAATAAAATCTGTTTTTATTTGAGAGTAGATAATTTAAATACCAGAGGACAGCATATTTTTTATTTTGGCCAAAACAGGAGTCACAAAAACTTTCTAAATTTTCTGATAAGATTTAGTGAACAAAATGATGTGACAGAAAAAACATTGTCAGCTCCTTATTTTTGGCCATGGTTTGATCTTAGGTGTAAAAAACTGAAATAGTTTTGGAAAATATATGAATCAAGAAGCTGAGGAAATTAAATTGGTGTTTGTAGGTTGTTTAGTTTAGGGCTCAGAGGAGTAAAACTCCGATGTCATTAACGCCTATATAAATGTGTATTATTTTTGTTATATTTTTAGACCGGTAATATGTGTTAAAAACTGAGTTTGTTATTTCTCAGAGCAATTGGAGTTAAATAGTTCTTCCCAGCACTTTTGGACTTGAATTGTTTTTACCCTGATCACCTATGCTGTTTTATTAAAAAATTAGGTGTTTGGACTATTTTTTCCTGAAACATTTTGACCATTCGATTTGGATTTATCTGGACTACAAAGTGGCATCAAAATAAAAAAATGAAGTTTTATTGTTTTCCCTTAACCCCTTCATTTCATTTATTAGCTAAACCTTTTACCTACTTATAACTTCTATTTGCCTAATAAAACAACCTTATTGTTTCTTTTATAATTTGTAGTTGTAACAATTACAAACAGTATTTGTATTTTTTCAGTTTTATTATAGCCCCAAAATACCTCTGGAAATCTTATCTTTTTCCCTTAGTAATAGATGCATTAAAATTTCAAATTCGATTTAACCAACTATCTTGTGGTCCAGTCAATCAATAGGTGAAGTAGAGATATTTTTTCCTTATATTTAAATAATTGGCTTTCTACATTAACAAATATGGAGATTATGAGTGCTTAAGTTTAACTCCTGTCTCAAATGATCCACCATTTACTCCTTCTTTAATTCTATCAGTAAAATAGTATGACCAAAAAAAGGATAAATAAAAAGATAATAAAATAAGTTTTACTAAATATAATTTCCTATCGGAATCTTTACTTGTTGGGCGCCTGGCTTTACTAGCCTTTCATCTCTAAAGAGATAATTATAGAGAATATAAGTTACTTGCCCATTATTTGGCCATGATTAATCATTTATTCTACCATGCTTGCTCAGGTGAGAAGGGGTTAGGTTGGATATTTTTATAAAGCAGCAAAAAAGGTTAAGAGATCTATTTACAGAAAGAAATATTTACAGAATTAATACAATGTACAAACATAAGAAATAAAATAAAAGGAGAGAGAGAATTTATACATAATTGCTATATACAATTAAAGATAAATAGAAAGATAATAAAAATACAAAAAGATACTTATTCTATATACAATAGTATGGCATGCAACATATATACATCAAGAAGCGATAGTCAAGATAAAAGATGTAAGAGCACATGCACATGCTAAATAGGAGTTAATAATTAGTTACAGGAAACAGAAGAGAGAAGAGTTCTATTTTTTTTTTTTTTTTTAATGCTTTCTTAATCTTGGTTACAATAGAATAGAAAAAATATATGCACACACGCACATATATATATATATCATCTTTAAGTGCAGATATATTATTACATACATTTGTTTTGTTGTATTTAAAAAGATTTTCTTTTAATAATTTCTGTGATATATTTTTAGTTCATTAAATTTTTAATTATTATTTCAGTAAGATCTTCATTAGAACCTGGGTGGCTCGAAGGAACACTGAATGGTAAAACTGGGCTTGTACCTGAAAATTATGTTGAACTCCTCCCATGAAAAGAGTTTGATCTTGGTGCCATTTCTTGTACATTCCATACAACAAAACATATCTCATTAGACTGATAGTTATATAGGTGTAAATAATATATTCAAAGTCATTCTTGTAACCATTCCAGTGTACAATGAAAAACACCATTTTGAAAAGCAATAATTAACATTATATATTTATAGAAAATTCACTTTGTATATATTTTTTTAAATGATATGAACTTGCTTAGATTCCAAAAGAGAACAAAATACGGAAATACCCTTCTCTGTATAACAATAATTATATACTTAAGTTCCAATTTCTGTGTTATGATTTGTATGCTGTTGTAAATAAATCAATTTATGTAGTTTAGATGTTATGAATTTGGATATGTATAGTATTGTTGTTTTGTTTTTATAACTTTTATTTTATTTTCAACATTTGTTATAGTTTACATATGATTATTAGTCATTACTATTATTATTAACTATGCATTTTATTTTGGAATCTAAACAAATATTTCTTTTTGTATATTTTTCATTAATTATTGACAAAAATATATTTTTTCATAAAATTAGTATAATAAAATGTGATGTGATTTATAAGATGCCATAGTAATAATTAAAATTTAAGTTGATTGAATATTTCATTTAAGAAATCAGTTTGTGCTTTACTGGACCTGGGACCATAATTATCAATAATTTAAAGTTGATTCATTCATTTTTCTGCATTTTGTAATATTTATTGTGAATGTAGAAAAGCTATTTCATGAGTACAAATGTTTTATTGAAATTTTGACATAGCCATATCATATTTTGTTTTGCTTTTAAACTTTTTATTTGGTTAATTATAAATACCTCATCTGGATTGTATTTAATTTTAATTATTAACATAAATAAAAACTCAAGTTTGTAAACATTTTCATCCTTTCATTAGAATTTTGTTTTCTTGTTTTATAATATTGAAAGAGTTTTTCATAATGATATACTGACATCATATAACTGTAAAAACCCAAAGAGAAAGTTGAACTTTATATTCTCATTCCAGTCAATCTCTTGAACATATCATTGTCCGTTGAGCATTTTTACATTTTTGGTTACTTCTTCACTATCCTACCTGCCAATTTCTGGTTGCATTTTCGGTTTAGCATTCATGTGATTTTTTTTTAATGGAACAAGCATTATTTGTTAGCCTTTTTCTCCAAAACATTAAGTTATACTTATTTAGTAAAAGTGACCATTTATAAAATTTGTACAGATATCTAGGCAATATGGTTTCTGAGCAGTAATCACAAAGTGAGTAGCTTAGTGGCTGAATAAAAACTAGCATCTGAATCTTTATAATATTGGTATTTTTTTCTTGAATTGGGTTTATTCAAGATTATTTAAATTTCATATTTTTCAGGATTTTACTGTACTAGGAATTACTTTTCCCTACGTCCATCTATGTAATGCTAATAAGTAATTTTCTTCTTCTTAATAGTCTACTTTACAAATTGTAAATTTTGTTTAGATATTTAAGACTTGATTTACACACCAGCATTTGTTTTCATTGATATTTTTAATTTAAACATTCCCTCATCTTTACCAAACTAAGTACCCATAATCACGGGCAGTTATTGCTACATAATCAAACATATCTTAAGATAGTGTCTCATTTTGTAAAGATTTTCAAGTGCTAAAATAAATAAAATTTGGGGTATAAAACTATGTTGATGTAATCCTGAATGGATCTTGAACTGTTAAGCATTGTACTTTTCAAGCGTAATTCTTTCTTTTTTTCCACTTAAATTTTAAGTAACTAGATTTTTTTTAAATTCTTATTTAAAGAAAGATAATACCAAAAAACAACAGAAATGAATACTTTTTCATATAAAATATTTTATTGTTAAAACATATTGTGCTAGTAAATGTATATTAATTCCATTAAATAATTTTATGAATTTGTATGTAATTTTATTTATTTTATTAATCTAAATTTTAAAATGTTTTATTTTTTGAAAATAATTATATTTTAACTTTAAAAGACATCATTAAATTGTGATATTTTTTTATTTATATTAAGTTATGTAATGAAATTATGTATATATGAATACCTACAAATTTATTTAATAATTTCATATCCACATGCACACACAGTGATACTTTAACACACCTACATTAATGTGTGTAATTGTATTCTAGTTATGTTATATTTTTTGTGGTTATATATTTATTTTTTAAAATTTGTAAATATGAAATGTTCACTTAATTTAAATTTTAAACCTTTATTTTTTTTCTATTTTTTTTTTTTTTTTTTAATAGAGATGTTATCACCAGTAGATGTCAGAAAATGTGGACTCCTGAATATTATTTAACTATTTTATTTTATTTTTTTATGTGATAGTTGTTGTGATCAATATGTGTTCTACTGTATACTGCTAGTAATGTATAAATATATATATGTATATTATTTTATTCTGAGGAAAACATTTAACATAATTAAATTTTTTAAAAATTCAATTTTTTAATAACAAAATATTTGACTTATATCTTAATTATGAATAATAAACAATATCTGTATATCTATTGATTCATCTAATGCAACGTTTATGGGATCAATCATAATTTATTATTTGAATATTTGAAGTTAATCAGATTTTAGTACTATATGGTCATCGTTTGCTCATTCTTAAATTAAAATCTTGGTTTTAAATTAAAAAAGATTAATTTAAAATTGGAAAGAAAATGACCATTTAAAATAATGAATTTTCCCTATTGTTCTGGTGTGCCACATTTTTTGTATGAGTATTATCAATTGTTTATTCATTTGTTCATCATAATTGTTAGTTTCATACAGTTCGAAAAAACATTTGCTGCATTCATTCTCCATATTTGTTTTATTTATTTATTTTCTTTGTGTATATGTTTAACCAAAGATAGAAGAGCTGTTTTATAGAAGCTTTAGTTCATTTAAATTTGTTATTTTCAAGTTGTTAAAGTTTTGTAGAAGTCAAATTTTATATTAATATGTTAACTCCCATTAATACCTGTTATAGTTAAGTTTTATCGAAATAAATATATGAACAAGATTTTTCTAAGAAACTTGGTACATGATTTATTGAGCTGGTGATGCAGAAATAGTACTCTGAAGTATTTATTTTGTGCAATTTATTATTTAATTAACTATTAGTTTTTCTTGAAACTGATTTTTGAAAAATGATTATTTGTTCAATTTATTTAGTTTATGTGTGAAAAATATTTCACAGTTACATTAAATGTGAACAACATTCAAATGTAATTCAATTACTTGAGTCAAATTTAATGTTATTATGTAATAAGAAAAATATAATACTTTTTAGTCATTATTGTTAAAGCCACGAACAATGTTTCAATTGTATGATGAATAATACATTACTTGTGAGATTTTATCTTTGTTTCTCTGTTATTTGATAAAGTAATTCTATTTATACGTATAAGTAAAAAGTTCAATACATTTTGGAATAAATAAAACAATACTAAATTTGTTTTTCAAATGAAACTTAAATACAAAAAAGTGCATAAAATTATACAATTTTATAGAAACAGTAAAAAAAAAAAAACTGTACAACTGCAACTTATGAAGGGTCTTGGGTTCAGTACTATTTAGGGAAAACACTGTTTCTTGGTCAACGGTTATGTAAGGAGGTGATTTGGCCAAGAACACGCTCAACCGCCAGGTTTTCTCCCTTTATTGGTTAATTAATTAATAGGAACAGTAAAAATATTAAATTTATTTATTTATTTTTTAAATACTCCCCTATTTTTCTAAATGACAGACTACTGGGGGAATTCTTTTCATGAGTTTGTCTATCTTCTTGAATGGCATATTATCCCAAGAACTTTTTAGAAGCTGTCAATGATTTTTTTCTATGAATTTGGAGTGTGATTCTGGGATTTGAGGAACATTACTTGATTGGATTGAGGCCAAGAAACTGAGCTGGCCATGTCATATTTTGTCAAATTGTCTTCATCTTCTTCTTGTTTTATTTATTTCTAACAAATAAAAGAGTACTTGAACACCCTCAGTGCTCAAACCACACCCTGAAAATGACCCACATTTTTGGGTTGAAACGTTGGCATAAATAAAATTATTTAAAAAAAAAGACTGTCCTGAATATTTATCACCTATTTCTAACAAAGTTAAGATAACTATTTCAGGCCATAATCCTGTTGCATAATAAAACCATAAAGGAAGACAAGAAGGATTCGAATAGAAATGAATGGAGTGCATAGAGAAATACATTATCATTACTCCTCACATGCAAGCTAGTAGGTGCCGATAGTGGGGTGAAACATTTCTTCCCTCCCAATTTTTGCATTGAAGTTCCCCAATACTATTTTGAAATCACGTCTTGGTAATCTGTCAACTGTGAACTCAGGCACAGCATAGAAAGCCTTCTGTTTCTCTTCTTTATCCTCTGTTGGTGCATGAACGCTAACCAGGCTTATATTGAAGAACTTTCCCCTGATTCTGAGAGTGCAGATTCTTTCATTTACTAGTGCATAGTCCATTATTGCATGTCTTATATTTTTCCTTACTAAGAATCCACTGCCTAATACGTCTTTTTTTTTTTTTTTTTTTTTATTATCCTGGGACTGTTGTCCCTTTAGGACAAATTACAGATACAGAATACAGAAGCCTGTGTGGTCATACATAAAATTAATTATTTACATTTATTATTAAGATTAAGATTTTAAAAAAATAATAAAACAAAAAATATAACTAATACACTAAAAACATTCTGATATGTATAATACAAACTATATAATAAAATAAAATAACATAAGTAAAGAAAATCATTTCTGGAGGAACTTTAAAAGTTCTCTTATCTACATTTCATGATCAATGGGGTTGGGAAAGGAGTAGGTGGTTAAAAAGGAGAGATTTAAATGAGGAAACTGATTGTACATGTCGGATATCGGGAGGGATGGTATTCCAGAAGGAGACGGCTTGAATTATAAAGGATTTGTCAAACGCTGCAGTTCGGTGGGGAGGTGGATAGAGGTCGGAGGTACGAGATCTAGTGAGACGGGATTGAATGGAATATTTGAATTGTAGGTTGTGAAAAATATAGGAAGGCCGCTGAGTTCTGATGACTTGGTATAGAAAAGTGGCAAGGAAGTACAAACGGCGGTTGGATGGATAGAGCCACTTCAACTTGGTGTAATACTGGGTTATATGCGTATCTCTTGAGATTCCGAAAACAAGACGTATTGCGCAGTTCATTAGGCGTTTAAGTTTGGCCTCGAATTCTCCCGAGTGTCCGCCGTACACCAGACAGCCATAGTTGAAGTGGGGGAACACAAGGGAGGAAGCCAGGAGTTGACAGGATTTATATGGAAGGAGATAGCGGAGACGGTTAAACTGTTTCAGGGTAGAGATAGTACGATGGGAAATTTGGGAGATGTGTGGTTTCCAGGAGAGGGTTTGATCGAATGTAACACCAAGGTTT